AGGGAAGACTAGATGGAAGAAGGGGTATCGGAAGAAAAAAGAAATCCTGGCTAAGAAATGTCAAGGACTGGACAGGGTTGAATGTGGGGGAATTGTTTCATGTTGCGAGGGATAGAGAAGCGTTTGGAGTAGTGGTCGCCAACCTCCAATTAAAGGGAGAAGGCACTGGAAGAAGAAGAATTCAAGGAATTAGAAACAGATTTCGTTAACTTATGTAGCGGGATAGTGATCAAATCAAATCTTAAATTATAAGAGTGGTTTTTACTGGTGGATGGCAAATTTGTTTTTATGATGAATTTCTATTACAGTAAAATCAATAAACGTGCATGGCAAGGGCATAATTCCGTGTCTCAGAAAGAGGGGCCTGCAGTGGGCACGATAATGCACACCACACATAACCCTAACTGCTCTCTTTTGCAATCTAAAAATGGTCTGTGCTGCCGTACTGTGTCCCCATAAGGGAATTGCATAAGAAATTTTTGAATGAAGGAGTGCAAAATAACAAATTTTCAGGGTGTCAAAGTTTATGTAGGATCGAAGCATTCGTATCAAAAATATTAAACTAGATATAGTTCTAGAGAGTTTATCGATATGTTGTGACCACGATAATTTGTCATCCAAACTGAGACCCAAAAGCTTTACAGTTTCCCTCTGCTAACCTCGAATTGGTAGGTATTTTTAACGTTTGGGTTTTATCTTTGTTTAAAAGAAGATTATTGACACTAAAGCATTTTTTAACTAAATCTAAAACGTTCTTTAAAGTAATAGTAAATAATAAGCTCGAATAACGGATTTCATAAGAAATTTCGATACATATTACTGCATGGCCCGCGAAAAATTAGATTAAAAATGAAATTAACAAACAACAATTTTATATAAGGTCGAATATTTTTAATATTTTTACTTTTTCAAATATTTCCTTTTAAACATTTATCAATCACAAATAATATGCTGTTGCCATATAAGTTCAGTTAGTGTGAGGTGGTTATGACGGAATTTGAACAAATCAAGTGCAGAGCGCTGCCTCCTTATTTATTTATCGTTTATAAATTTAATTTACTCGCATGCTTGCGTATTATGTTTACCACAGAAGAAAAAATTGATATGTTAAAAAGTTTTATATCGAACAATAAAAACTGGACCCTGGCTCTTACATATTATATAACAAAAATTCCATTAACGTGGAGCTCACAAAAAAAAAACGTAGACAGGATTTACACCAACTTAATATTTTGTTGCATTTTGCAGACACCTCTAAAGATTCAACCCGAAATGCGTCTTTAGGTCTAGATGTCAAAAGAACAACGGTTCAAACGAACCTTCAAATAAACAACTGGAAGTCCTATAAACTCAGTAGAGAAAGTAGAGCAACGGCATTACAACAATAAGTTAGATTTTTGCAACATCTTTTCAGAAAATATATTTTCTAATATTATGTGCGCAGATGACTCCATATTTACAAGGTCAACTAAAATTTTCAATAGGAAAAATACTCATTACTGGAGCACCACAAATAATAAAAAATATATGGAAGTTACAAGATCACGTAGAACTTCTGTCAAAGTATGGTGCGCCATTTGGAGGTTCAGAATAATAGGTCCAGTATTTTTTGATCAGAATTAAAATTCCCAACGCTACTTAGAGCGTTTAAATATTATCCATCCCTTTGTTGAAAATGAAGTGCCTGAAAAAGAACGACGAAACTTAATTTGCAGCAGGATGGCGCTCCTTATCACACAACTCAAGATATTAGCACCTATTTAAATTGGGGAGAATGGTAGTTATGCCTGGCCTCCGAGCAGTTTTGACTTAGCTCCCCTAGATTTTTTTTATTGGGTACCCTTAAATATTTACTTTACAAACACAAACCGCCAACTGCCGAGAAACTTAAATGTCGGATAAGAGAAGATATCAAACGGTACTGAATCTGTTAGAACCCCTTTAAAACTACTTGTATTGCTCAAAGTGGAAGACATATTGAACAACTGTTACAACAATTATCATCCTGTGTAAGCAATTAATTTTTTATTGATCTTTCGTTAATACAATATCGCATATCATTGGTCTTATTCCGTATAGATAATGTATACATACATTTATATAATATTTGGATCTTCATAAGCGCATCGGCAAGATTATAGTCAGAACTTTAGCAGTTGTTTTGTTCAAACGCTGTCGTAGCCACCTTACACTAACTAAACTTTTATTTCAACAGCAAATTATTTGTGATAGATTTATAAAAGGAAATATTTCAAAAAGTAAAAATATTAGGCATATACAACGTCATATAAAATTGACTTAATTTTTAATGCTAAATTTACAAAATTATAAAAATAGATAGTTTCCAATAAAAAAAAATTTTTTTGGTTTTATTAATTTCATTTTTAATCTTGTTTTTCTCGTATCCTATATTAATATATATCGAAATTTCTTATGAAATCCGTTATTCGAGTCCTTTGTCTTCAACAAAACTTACCTAAGTGAAATAATAAATGTTTCCCAATGAAGAAAAAATGAAGTCATTTTTCGCATAAAAAATTAAAAACGTCAAAATCGGTGAAACTTTGGTATAGGACATTATACACAAAATATGACTAAAATTTTGTACAGATTTCAAAAATGAAGTGGTATACCAGATGGCTCCATCCCCTATGCATTCTGAGATAATGTAGTGTCAAAAGGTAAACGACACACCCTATACACAAAATACTCAAACAAAATCGCTCGTAATACAATATACTGATAATAATAATAACAATAACAATGGATTTTATTGCCCAGTAGTTTACACCAATTACAGGACAGTATGTAATAACACAATCACAATACAGATCTGGAATACAAACGCTAAAACGCAGTATATATACAAGAAATAAATTAGGCAATTAGGTGAATGTTAACCAACACTTCTGTAATATTTGTTACATATTAATGTTAATCTAGGTAAGCGTCGTTAAAAAAACACTGTACTGAATAAGTGAATTGTTATCCGAGCATAAATTGGTTCAGGGAATTCCTAAGCTGATTGTTAGGTTAGAGAAAATTAATTTGGGCAAGTACATTGAGTCAACGCTATCATGCAACACTATATTTATTTATTTATTTATTTGTTTATTTATAAACAAGTCTTTCCTACAGACAGACTCAGCTGTCCGATAAAAGGAAAGTACAAAATGACACAAAAAAAGATACTTTGTCACTAGTTTAAATTATTTTTTACCAGCTAAATCTAAGAACTAAATAGAGATAGATTTTTATTATTTGGTATACGGTCCTAAGTCCTAAGCACTGGTCAACGTCACATAGGAAAATAGCAAACAATAAGTGACCCAAATGCTACTCTTTGATTTTATCCCATTAACAACAACATACTGAGATCGCTCGCACAAGTAATTCTTAAGGAGGACGAGCAAAACTTTATCGGTGTAATGGCACATGTCTCGAATCCCTGCTCCATATTGCCACTCACTGACTGAACAATTGGTACCAAATTAGTTAAGATTGATCTTTTACGAAAAAATCCGTACTGACTCAAACAACTTGATGAAGTGGCTTAAGAGAGAGATCGGTCTGTAGTTAGCTACATTCTTCTCATCACCGGATTTCAAAAAAGGCACGACTTGGGAAATTTTTCAAAGTCCAGAATATTTAACAGTTAAGATGGATTGATTGTATAGCAAAAAGAGGGGCTCACAATGATCGGGAATGATTTTAAAAATATCTCTTCGATAAATGACCAACATTAAAACATTCATGTGATGGAATTGGTTGGTGAAGGGGTGTCAGATGATTCAAAGACACTACTAAAGAAGTTTGAGAAAAGTTCACAGATTCCAAGGTTATTTGAAGCATGTGAGGTGTTTGGGAGCATTCTCTGTGGCAAACTTTTTGTGTTTTTTTGGTTGCGAATAAACGACCAAAAATATTTTGTATCTTGCTTAATATTTTGTTCTGGTACGCTTCGTAATATTACTAATATTAATTTTAACGGTCTTGCTTAAATTCCAAAAAACTTGATAAACTATTTGTCCCCTATTTTTCCAGAATTACAAATAATCTTTTTTCGCAGCTCAAATTGATACATATTTCTAGCAATGGATGATGGAAACCCACAGGAACTAACGGACTATTATTTTCAATTACCTTCTTCTTTAGAGAATCAGTCATAACCAGGGAAAAAAAGCCAGGAAACATTTACTCAGCGGATCAGAGGCATTACTAGCCAACAAATCATTGCAATTTAGGTCTCTCGATCAAGTTAAATTCGATAAATTAAAATCTAAAAGTAAGTCGGTGTAGCTTTTATTATTTAATATTAATTCTATTTTTGAGAAAAAGTGCATATAGTTACTAAGCGATGCATGAGGCGGTACATATACAGTACAAATTAACATTTTTTTACCGCCATTAAAATTAACTCTAATAATATTTTTCGAGTTACACAATTTAGTCACAGTTTCGGCATAGTAATTCTCACGAACCGTCATCAATACCCCTCTACCATTAGTTTTTCCACTAAGAATCATTATAGTCCAAAAACATGATAGTCTGGAGGAAACAGGCCTAGGTCCTTACCAAGACTCTTATTGAAACACAGTCATACCCGACACTACATATAGATTGAAAGAGATTTAGTGTTTTTGTCCTAGGGCCTGTAGTGTTTTGTAAGTAGACTTAAAATTCGGTCATTGGAGCTATCGGATGCTAAAATATTATCTTCAAAAAATGCTTCACAGTGAAAAAAGCTGATACTAGTATCTTTCTATCTTATAAAGAACATCATTTCTTTAATCCCACAATACTTAGTACTAGACCTTTTACAAAAATCTCGTGCTTATAACATGAGGAAAGATGCTCATTGATAGACACCACTATAAAAAAAAAGAAACTTTACAAAGCGTCTTTGAACATACTCAAGAGACCGAATATGAGTTAAATAAATCATAATATCAGCTTCTCTGTCTTTCCTTTTCTTTGATATAAATGCTTTTTGAATCCAGGATTTGGAGACCTTCGACTTGGAAGACTTCAAATACAATTCGGTCAACATCACCGCTTTCAGACTGGTGGACGTGGAGCATCCGAAAGTCAAAGAAATTTTGGAGGTGATGGAAAGATTTCAGCCGATAGGACACGCGATTCTGAACCGAAGCGGTATTATCCAAGTGAGTGACGCCAAATTTCTGACGTCGTAAGGGGTAAAGGCAATTTAATTTACAGGCCGAACCTGCTTTAATGTTCGACTCGGTGTACGTTTTTGCCAAGGGACTAGCCGCCATGGACTCGGGCCATTCCATCAAGCCCACCAATTTATCTTGCGACACGGAAAAACCCTGGGACGACGGACTGTCCCTTTATAACTATTTGGACGCAGTGGTAAGGCGGTTTTTGTCCATCGTGTACGGCGTCGTATCTATTCATTTTTTTTTACGGGTCGTGGCCGTTTTTGTTGCCGCTTTATTGCCCCGTCAACAAGGTGTTTCCCGAATGCGAAATATCCCCGTATTTATGTGCTCCTCCTTAATGATGGGTAAATATTTAACTTAAAGAGTAATGGTCGTTTGTTCTTCAAGTTATGATAAAAAATGTTCCCTTTTTTTACAGTCGAGAATGTTTATTAGTGAGCCTCTTGAGATGTTTCAATTATATTTAATAACTACGCGGTTGGACTGTTTACGATTCTTCTAAATTCATTCTTCGTAGATCGTTTATAAATCAAAGTTGCTCTCATAGTGTCGGCTTCTTTAGAGCTTAATTGAAACTGACTTGTATTCTACTCTGTACTTGCTTATAATGGGTGTTTTTTTTTCGATGTATAGAAATTTAAGTTGGCATTACTGCTCAAGATGTGATTTATTCTCAGTTTGGTTTGGCAATTCATCATGAATAGACTCACGCCTGAACAACGCTTGCAAATAGTGCAATTTTATTTCGAAAATAATGATTCTGTGCGGAATACGTATCGCGCACTACGTCCATTTTATCGTCGACAAAATCGTCCATCAGAGCAATTAATTCGATTAACCATGTAACGTTTTCGCACCACGTTTACTCTTATTGATAACTCGCATCCCCAGAGACGCCGTACGGTGGGTACAGAAGAAGCTATTGCTGCTGTAGAGCGTAGCATTGAGGAAGGCCCGAAATTGATCTGTGTCCATCCACTTTATGGAAGATTTTGCGGAAGGATCTTGGTTTACGTGCTTACAAAATCCAACTCGTGCAAGAATTGAAGCCAAACGATCATCAAGTAAGGCGTAGATTCGTCGAATGGGCCTAAAACGAGATTGCCGTTGTTCCCGATCTTCATAAGCGAATTTCGTTTAGCGATGAAGCGCACTTCTGGTTGAATGGCTACGTCAACAAACAATACTGCCGCATTTGGAGCGAAGCTAATCCTCAAGTGTATGTCGAAATACCGTTACATCCAGAAAAACTGACTGTTTGGTGCGCTTTATGGGCTGGTAAAATCATTGGTCCGTACTTCTTCAAAAACGATGATGGCCAGAACGTTACAGTCAATGGTGATCGGTATAGAGCTATGATTACTAACTCTTTCATTTCTGAATTGAATAACCATGATGTCCAGGAGATGCGGTTTTAACAAGACGGCGTAACATGTCACACAGCTCGTGCCACAATCGATTTATTGAAAGACACATTTGGTGACCGCCTAATTTCACGTTTTGGACCTGTGAATTGGCCTTCAAGATCTTGTGATTTAACACCGTTAGACTACTTTCAGTGGGGCTATGTAAAGTCTTTGGTCTATGCATATAAGCCACAAACGCTTGACCATTTGGAAGACCACATTCGCCGTGTTATTGCCAAATGTTGGAAAAACTCATCGAAAATTGGACGTCCAGATTGGACTACATCCGCGCCAGCCGTAACGGCCATATGCCAGATATCATATTTTAAAAATAATTTTCGATTATACAAAGTGATTCATAAATCTGTGGGAAACCAAACTTATATTTTTAGAACTCCCTCTGTATTATTGCCTTAATAGATACTTCCTATCTACCCCATAACCCAATGTGGGTTGGTTATGATCTATACCGTGTGTTTTTAAATTTCTGACCACTTTTTCGTCAAAAATGTCAGATGTAATTGCATTATGCCAGCAATTTCATACAGTAGTCCGGGGATTACTTTTCTCAACAGAGTCGTTAATACTTTCTGTAACTCTTGCAGAAATTTTCAGAAATAGAGAAAAAATCACATTACGTTTATTATTTATTATTAAATTCTGTAGATGGGTATCAGATTATAAATGAAAATGCGTGACGTTGCGTTAAGTTGGTGAAATTTGGCATGCACTTTTATAATTAAATATTCTCATTTTTGATATAAAAACAATACCTCAAAATGACAGAAGCGCGCCATTTTGTTTTTTCTAAGTGATAAGAGGAGTCATTTTAAATGCCTTTTTAACGTTCTATTCGCATACCAATTTTGAAAATATTTGATTAGTCAGTTTTTGCAAGACAGTCAAATGAATTCTTGCAAATGTTCCGTTACTTTTTTATTACTTAACCGTAGTTTAAATTAAAATTAAATTAAAATATAAATAGTTTCATTATTTTATGAAATGTTCGAAATTAGTCTGTCAATAAACTCGTTCCAAACATTATGCATATTTTCTGGAGGAATTACACTACAGACATTTCGAACTCTGTCTTTCAAATCTTTAACTAAATTTGGGTGTGTAACAAATTTTACTTTTTAGATATCTCGAAAGGGAAAAGTCCAGGGGCGTTAGGTCTGGCAACCGAGCCCCTCTTCCAATCCACCTGTTAGGAAAAAATGCATTTACCCATTCCCTAACAGGTCTTGTACGCACTGCGGCGCACTGTTCTGCTCACAAACTATGTCTTTTTGAAATTCTTGACCCAATCTTTTAGAATACCTTTCACCTGTATATTTTGTCAGATATTGATTGTACGTCACTTATCTACGGTCATAGCAATATTAATAATAGGTATGACAGCATGCAGATAAATGAGTTTTTATTTTTAAGTAAAAACCGTTCTCCACCTTGAAGGATTGGTATTTTGGTATTGGTATTAAAGGGGGGCGCCCTCGCGGGCGTCCAAGCACTTAGGCCACCAGATGGGCCAGTTGTGCCCCCAGACCGCTCTAGAGGACGTCCAGAATGCCGCCCCTCCTATAGAAGGTCAGCAACTCCTTTAGCCCAATACCGTGCACTGAGTCCGGATAAATCACGGCCGTTCCGAAGACTCCAAATCTTGCCCATGTCAAAGCAGGGCACTCGGTGAGCATATGATACGAGGTATCCTCCCTTCCATGCACCACCTGCACTCCGGGTCGTCTCCAATGCCTAGCAGGAAAAGATGCCTCCTAAGTCTGCAATGTCCTCTGTAGGCCCCCGTTAGTGCTCTACACTCCTGGTCTGAGGGAGGGCGGGCCCATCCATCATAAGCCTCGCCTGCCTCAACGTGACATTCCTCTCCTCAGCCACTCTCCTCAGCGCCATAAGTGCAACCCTACTATCCGAGCAGAAGAATACCCGCCTGCTTCCGTGGTTGAGCCTCTCTGGCCGCCACCAATATAGCGAAAATTTCCGCCTGAAACACACCGCAGTACTGACCCAGAGGAACCGACAATCCGTTGTCTCGCAGTACGCTCCAGCTCCGGGCAAATCTCCCATTCTGGACCCGTCCGTGTACCAGACAAGTGCATCCCAGGAGCCAACTCTGCCCTCTCTCCACTCTTCCCTTGGTGGGAAGAGAAAGGTCCATTTATCAAAGTAGGTCATCTCGGAGATCATGACGGACTCGGCATGCCCATGACCCCGCGATCCCCGGGACAGCCCTCTAAAATGTCGTACGGGCTCCGATTGAAGGTTCCCTCCCTCCAGAGCCCGCAGCTCGCCAGCCTGACAGCCGTCGTGGCCGCCTCCTGGTCTTGAGGAATACACGCTTCAGTTCTTTTACTATATTGCCTTCCACTCTTTAAAATATACCTCTAGTGTTTCTTATTAAATCGCACAAAGCTCTTATACGGTCCTTCAGCTCTTCTGCACTCTTCTACAGTGTTAACTGGGGAGCGATAAACCATACTTTTAAGATGTCTCCATAAGAAAAAGTCGGAACTAGTATTAAATGTGTGATTTGAATATTCTCTTATTGCAACACTAAAGTGAGCAAGTGCAATGTCATGCATCAACCACATTCTGTTCCTAATTAAATATGTTACTTCTTCTAGAAATACTGCCAAATCCTTTTAAAAAAATCGGCAATTTATTCTTTTTGGCAGGAAAAAATATGAAATTAATTAATTTCCAACAGCCCAAACATTTAGCCAAAATGTAAATAGTATATCTTGGTCAAACAAGGGGTATTGTGCAATTTTGTCCAAAAACCAATGGCACAAATTAATACTCAAAGGAAATTTCTAGGAACTGACGCTTCGACTCGCTGAATTTAATATGGGTGCAATAGAAAATTGTGCAAAATTTTTCAAACCAAGACTAACCATACCAAGATGATTTCCAGGTTTTCTAGTACTAAGTTCGTATTTTTATCAATAGAATAAAACAGTCCGATGAGCCCGTTTTAACTGATTATCTGCCAATAAAGTATCTGTTTCAGTCAACCGTCTATGTACACCGTGTACCAAATAAAACGATCCGCTATACGATCTGGAAACTCATAGGAGATATGGAAAAGTTTCGTACAAAAGTTTCTTGCACTCTATTGAAGATTTAAAATATTATAATTTTGTTGATACAGGGTGTCCCAAAATTTATTTTAAATTGCACACCCTGCACCCTTCTTTGAATACTTGGTTAAAATAATGGTCACTTTCTTAAGAAATTCCTATTCAAATTGAGGTGATAAGTTTGTTTTACATTTTGAATGTCCCATATAAAATTGTGTTGTGACGCTACTGACCTAGGTACGGGCAACGGGGCAACGAAAATTTAAGCACATACTAAGGAGATGCTGTACTACTTAATCAGTTTGATATATGCGCCTCAGCTTATACAAATAGGTGGAGCCGTTTTGGCAAATTCAGTTAACAAAATCTCAAGATTTTTAAATATTTTTATTCAAAATATTTGTTCTAAGACAAAAAATAAGGTAAGTTTGTAATTTATCTTATATTTAAATTTTACTTACTTTTTGAGGTATTCGAGGTTTAAGAGAACACCCGTATAAATTGTTGTTGAATTGAAAGCTGTTCACATTAGGTCACTTGTTGGCAATATTAGGTATTTTTTAAATAGTACAGATGTGATACTACTTCTTTTAAAGATATAAAATTTCGAATATACCAATAAAACCTATTGCTAACAATATAGGTTTTCCATTAATGCGGGGAAATTTTGAAAAAAAATCTTCTCT